TACTATTAAATTGAAACAATAACTTTGTTATATAGTCTTAGAAATAGTGTCTGTTGCGTGTATGTGGCTATAAAACGTCTCGGTTTCACTTGAAAATTCAAGCATCCACTTCCTTAAGTCATCATATAATCACATCAGACATAAGCACCTTTTTCTAAAGTTAAATATAAAGATGGACTATGACGTAGCGTAGTGATTGACCTGTTACTTCTTGAAAACATTCTGAATAGGCTAAAAATGTTTTGATTAAAATATCAAAACGCTTCCCAATGGCGCGAGTCACGCGACCGCGGGGTGTTAGTGAAGATCCAATAAGCAAGATAGTTCTGTAATGTTTTTATTGCACGACAATTTACTTCAATTAGATTCAGACACGACAGCGTTATACACCAAGAAATCTCTTGCGAAGATAAAAATTGCGTGCTTTACACTCTTACCATAAATCTTGTTTCCTCATTCTGCGTAAACATTACCCTAATTCCCGTTAAAATATTTCCGGTCAAAGTATATATCGTATTCAAATTAAGATTGGTGCCGTACCTCATTAGAACCACAGGGAGTAAAGTGAGTAGCATTGCAATGATAAGACTAAGGGGATATTTACCTCGTGATGGTCAAAGAGGTTACCAAAATAACTTAATATCCAATCTGATCCACATCGAAATATAAATTTTCTTAACACAATTTCATTATTTAAATGGACAAGCCCACTTATTTTTCAAATTATAAAGATTTCGTAAACATTTTATGTGCTGTCAAAATTAGATCCGGGACGTCGTTTATGAAAGTTAGCTACTGGACTACACAATAGTCGTGACATAACGTGCCTACTCAAAAAAATATTGACTCGAAGACAGAATGAGTCGCTAGGTACAAAAAACTATGGCGTAAAGGCACGTGCGGAATACACGTCAGTATGCAATAATACGCAAATGCATATCAGTGAGTTTGAAAGTTTAGATGTGGTAAGAAGAAATAAATTAAAATAACGGCGCTGGCTCGTGAGGGCAGCGGCGAAGAACGACGAGACGGCGGCAACGCGACGTGCGCGCGACTATCTCACGCGATCGCCGCGTCCTCAAGGCAGCGGCGGCGAGGGTGATCCTATCGTCAGGTCACTGTGTCGGACATTTTGGCATCCTTCTAATCTCTATACTATATCGCCTAATAAAACCGAAAGCAAAAACGGTCACGTAGAAAATGAGCCGTTTAGATCACTCTCGGCTACGCCTTATAAGAAAATTATACGGTCTTTTATCACGCCTTTGTCCGCTCAAGTAGATGTTACTGTTCAAATTTGTTTTGTTTTCCTTTTTAAAAGGTTATGTCGAGCAACTTTCTATATCAAAGAATCCAATAACAACAATTTTAAAATGTCAATACGTTTTAAATTAATCAGTTGATTAATTAAAAAATTTTTCTTAATTAAAGAAACTAGACTAATAATTTTAGATAAACTAGTATCTGAAATTGTTTAAAATAGTAAATACGCAGTGTAAAAGGATTTTAATTAAAGCGCTTTTACGACGAGAGATATATAAATTAAAGATGCCGCTATACTAATCAAGGTAGCTCAATCAGGCGACGGTAATAAATCTTCGAAAACCAGAAGATTCAATTACACGGCTACCGGAAGGCATGAAAAGTGGCAATAACAAATTGTTCAAGATAAATAAAAGCTCTTTAGTGCAGAGAAGAAGTTCCGAACTTGTTTCTCTTATCGAGTACTGGTCGCAACGTATTTTTTTTTCAAAGAAATTTATCGATCGCTTAATGTTGCTCTCAAAAATTAATTAGTCCTTCGCGGTGAAAGCCTCGCCGCTTTTAAATTATAACACTTGAAAACACTTAAGCAGGAAGATCACGCCGAAGATAAAACCGCCTGAGGATGTGCTCAATCGAACCTTAGTTAATGATGGACAATTGATTAGGATTTAATGAGTGTGTAGTGCTACTGACGAGATGAATGCAAATCCACTCACATATAGTTCGGCACCGACTAGTTTCACAAAGTTGTGAATTCTAATCCATGTATCATTTATCTGTTGCACTAAATTACTTAGAAAAAAGTTCACGAAGTCAAAATTCAGAACGCATATTGCGACGAATACTAAATTTAAACATAAAACATAAAATTTCCTACACGTATATAGTAAAAATATTCCCGTCATATTTGTCCGAGATAGCAAAAACCACGTGACATAAATATTTAGTACATTTTTGTATCTTTGGAAGTTTCCACTTTATGTAAACTTTCGGATATTTAAAAAGTTGTTCACATAAATTATTTTTACCTTTACGAAGCCGCGATGGTCGATTTGATATAAATTATAACCAATATCAACTGAAAGAATTTTAATGTAATTAAAAATACCACAGACAGTAACACATACATTTACGCATGTACATATGTATGTATGGAGAAATAAAGATAATTAATTTTTATAGCAAAACAAGTTAAATCAGCACATACCATCGGATTATTTGACATTAACAACATTTTATAGGTTGAATACCTTTAAAAAACTAAAAAAGTATAGATAAGAAAAAACAACATAGAAATATCATACAACAATTATCAACACAACTAAAATTAATATATTATGGACCTTGGAGAGAATAATTGCATGAAATAAATGAATCTTAATGTAGTTACCAAACTAACATCTTCCAAGAGAGTTAAAAATGTAAAAGAAAATCCGGAAGAAACCAATTATCATAATCGTATATACTCGTATTATTACAAATGCGAATGTTTGGATGGATGGATGTTTGTTTTGAGATATCTCCCGAAAGGGTGTTCTTTTGCTGAAATTTGTCATAGATGCAGAACATATGCCGGAAGACAACATAGGCTACTAATTAGGTTTTTATTTTTAATTCCGCGCGTACGGAGCCGCGAAAAAAAAGCTATAACTTTACACATCAACGTTATCATGTATTTTATTTAAACAAAGTTCACATACGTTTACAGTTTTAAAAAATACTTTATCGTCGAAAGATAAACGAAGCTCTCCAAATGTGTAATACTTTATAAGGAAGTCTGAGTTTTGCGGCCAGCTGCAGTTCAGGTCATTTCATCTCCAGATCTGGACGCGTGTTATCAATCGGAGGCATCCATCCTCGACTCCTGCATACCAACACGACTCAAAACACTACTGTAACACCGTTATACAGTAGACTCTATGGATATTTCATGAGGTTCATAGATATTTCATATTTACACTAGCTGTCGCCCGCGACTCCGTCCGCGAAGAATCAAAAAACTATTTAAATATCAGCGAGATCCATGCAGTCGTTCTGGAGACCTTCATACAAACATCCATCCATCTATCCATCCATCCATCTAAACCAGTCTTTTCCCAAAGTGGACGATAAAGCCCCCCTGTGAGCGCTGCAGGTCTCAAGGGGGGCGGTAAGAGACCCAGAAAAAAATGGGGGCGTTGTGTAGAGGCCTGGAGGGTGATTTGTAATTTTATTTAACTTGGAGGCCTTTTAGACAACGACTGCATGAGCTCTCGACTCTCAAATAAAACTTGTGAAAAAATATTATATTTATTCTCAAAGTGGGCAGTAGACAAAATAAGTTCGGGAACCACTGATTTAAACAATCGCATTTATAATAATAGTAAGATAAGATACGAAAACCACTTTTAGTTACCTCTATAATTAAAAAATTAAATTGGTGACATCGGTAAAAAATGACCATAAGGAACGGTAAATCAAAAAGTAACAACAAAACATTAACTTATTATATGATTTGCTGAAAGTTTTACAGTTTCACAAATAATTAAAATGTTTACTTGCTATTATAATTACTTTCCTTTAAATACATAATAAAAACAAGCGGCTCTTTTGTATGTTTATTCAACGGGACCTAAAAAGTCTTCTTCGAAATGTTAACGGCCATGTTTGTACGGAATTTAATTAAAGTAGCTCTTAATCTTTTATAATCGCCCACGCGTATCTGTTGGTAGCGAACATCTCAAAAATCCCACGCATCGTTACACTAAGTGGCTGATACTGTATAATCAGTCTGTTGTACTGATAATGCAATCGATTGCAGAACAAAACTTCATTACGTTACCATTTTAGTTAACAATATTTACTTATACGTAAACTAGCTGCCGCCTGCGACTCCGTCTGCGCGGATATAAAAAAAAACTTAACAAATAGCCTTTGCGTTCTTTCAGGTTATGTTCTACATGTGTACCTTTCTGTATATACCTTTTAACAAACATCCATCCATCCATCTTAACTTTCGCATTTATAACATTAGTACGGAGTAAGATTTACTGAAGTATTTCTGAAGATAATAAGTTTTAATCACAACTACTGCACGTTGTCAAACAAACTTGAAAGGATCAGAATATTGTGTATTTCATTAGCGCAATTAAAGTTCAATACATCTAGTTACCATCTATCTTTTTAAAGGTCACGTATAAATATGTTTATTAAATCTCAACTCTATCAAACTTTAACACAATTGAAGACAAAATCGTACTCACTAAAAAGAACAATCGAACGTCATAATACTATAAGTCTATTGCATAATGGATAATTATTGCATCCAGTTAGCTTCTCCAACCTTGAAAACATCGTAGTTTTATGGGATTAGTACATACTCCTGAATGTTTTCGTCAATTCTAAATATATCTCATATTACGAATATGAAGTGGAAGAAGCTGTATCTACGGTCTATTTATAAACCTTTATTTTAAAATAAGAATATTGCAATATTTTTAAGAATCAATAGCGATACGACAAACGGTCAAACTCCAGTCTGCTTAAAACGAAACCAGGTCACGATTTATTTTTATCCTGAGCTTACGCCGATGCCTCATGTATATTATATATTGGAAAATTCTGATTTTACAATCTAATTATACAAAGATAGTCTTTATTTTCCATAGCAAACGTCAAAATAATTTACTGGCCCATGATAACGAGGCACGCAGGTGGAAGATAAAGGCCACTGCAGATTAGTTCGATAAAAGACGTCCTAACGGAGCGCACGTGCTTTTAACACTATCCGCGTACATTCGAATGTGCTGTAACAATAAAATGCTCGTGTTTGTTCTTTTCGTTTCCGGACTGATATCATACGGTAAGCTTATTTATATGGAGATTAGTTATTCTGATGTTATGACTCACTTAAACTTTTCAATGAACACAAAAGAGTAGTTTTTATATCAGTCGGCCGTGTTTAAAACAAAACAGTGCGTTACATCACGGCGGGTCTGCGGTCCGGTCGCCGCCTGCGCCTCGCATCGCACACAATGCTTCCCAACTCGTCTCGCAACTACCGGTTAATAAATATTTATTTAATCCGCTGTTGACAATCGTATTTACATTGTTATAATGGTAGGGACTGTTGTGTCGGCACGACACCGTGTGGGCCGGACTTTTTGTACACTGAACATCACTTGTTTTGAATTCAGGTCAGTGCCGCGATTACGATAATATGATGATATCTATAGATAGAATAAATAGAAATATCAACAACAGCTGTTAGTCATATAAACAAAGATATTTGTAGCTCTATCGTTTTTTTATAATTCGTATCTAATTTATAAAATAATAGCACACCAGTATCATACTATAAAATATAATGTTACAAAAGAGACGCTCGCAGCATGCACAATTATGTCGGCCGCCCATCATTGACTTTCTCGCGCCACACTTGAACGGTCTCTTACGCATGGATTGACCACGGACCACCTTAACGTATCGCTTCTTCCACACATCGCCTACACAGCAACTACGACTAGCTCCAACTTTGTACTGTCACAATTAATTATCAATCATCTGGGGGCGCGGCAGTGAAGGAAGTTATTTTTTAATATCCTTATAGTAAATATAAGATATACTCATAAAATCATTTTTTTAAATAAAATGTTACGCGACTAAAAGAAAATGCTGTCCACTTAGACTGCATGACGTGTTTGCCAAAAATAAAAAAAAACACTTAATTAGTTGGCATGCGAAATACATAACATACATTTAACTAACATTTTTGGAATGCATTTATGTAATGGCACTTAAGTCTGACGTCATTTTAGATATACATAGTGTTCAGCTCATTGTTTATCAAAAAACAAATACATACCTAAAAAGCAATGACATGTTCTTAACAACTGTCATAATTAAAACCAGTGTTAATTACGGCCATTTAAAATACATAATAAATTTTAATGAAGATTCGTATTGCGGCATACCGATGGACAGCCGGTGCATTTCTTGTTATTAATTGCGCAGAAAGCGCGAGTGTATCAGAACGTTGTCAGGCTGATGGCCGATAAAATCGTGCAAAACGCGACAAAATTACATATGATTGTGGCTTGTTAAAACAAACGAATGCATCGTTCGATGCGATAACGATTTGCAGCAAACCTGGTGGTCGGTTGCGCTCAAAAAACAACGCAAAGAAAATATCGTACGTCATTCCCAAAGTTAAATTACTGGTACGAAGTAAATCAATCAACACTTAAACCATATTAATTAAATAAAGGTGTAATAATAAAGTGTCACGAAATTTTAAACAATTTAAAGTTGTATAATATTATAATGAAATGTAACGCTTTTATACTTACCTACCGCTGCAGATGTCCATCACCAGTAATTCCATTGCATGTTGCATTTTTCGAAAAATATAGGAATTTATCTTCTACAAAAGTTAATTTCACTTGGTCTTGATTAATCACAACACATATTTACGGTACTTACAAAAAAACTCTCTAAATTATACATATTTAATTTTGACATCTTCATAAACGTTAAGCCATTAGATAAAAACACGTAAAATTATAAGTAATATTTCACATTCCTACACATACGTAAACTTTTTTCATTAAATATTAAATTTACACTAAACAACGACACATTTGAATTAAAACAGTTTTTCTCTCATTCTTGAAGTGTTATAAGATTTAACTTTATTTTAATTTCCGTAAGTTTCAAGCGCTTTTCCAAGCCACGCGGGAGACTGAAGGAAATGACGTCATCTTCCTAATGTCAAAATTAATACCGAAATGACCTACTTTTTTATTGGTTATTTTTGTTTTCATCTGTCGTAATCATGTAAATAAACAGCTTAATCAGAAATTTTATTTCATAATTATCTGAAAGAAAAACTTTGATTTTTTTAATTTCCGTCATTTTATCCTTCCTCTAATATTTATTCATTTTCCCTCAAATAAACAATACCAAACTAATAGGAGTATAGTTAATTACTGGTGCTGCCACCTGTTTGACCGAATCTTGCGCTGCTAGGGATCCAATTTTTTTGTAATAATTTTAATGGGCCGTACTTAAATAAGACATATTTAAATGGATGATGTTTTATCAAAACGATCCCACATGCCATAGTTTTTTTTCTATTTAAATACATTTATAATATAACATATTTTTATAATTCTCAAAAATCTGTCTCATTGTAGTTTCGCCAGAAAGTTGCTTCTACCAGCGTTGTCTTAGCTGCCATCCCCAAGAGGTTATATGGCCAGGCACGCCATTAGAGTGTCATCCATCAAATTGGGTGTCAGCACAATGGGTACACAATATAGGACATCCGCCACCATCGACAGATTCAAAAGTACGAATAGAATATCGTTGCCTGAAAATGGTAGCAACACCGGATGATAAATCATGTAAGTTGATGTTACTTTTGCCTTTCAATCACTTCTGTAAAAAAATCTCTCTAATTTAAAAATTAACAATTTTTATCTTTTAGTTGGCAACACTGTGGACGTTATTCGAGGCTGCGTACCACGTGCGCAAGTTGACTCAGTCTGTCTCGCTCTAGAGGCAGTAGAGCGCGCCCGGGGCCATAGTGACGCGCACTGCTTTATTTGCAACAAGAATAATTGCAACTCAGCCTCGCGAACAAATCTCGCGATAGCAACACTGGCCGCCATTTTGTTCCTGTACTATATTCTAAGGTGAATGACGATAATATAATCAATACTAGCTGTCGCCCGCGGCTTCTTATACATTCGTCCAGGCTATGTTATTACATCTATGACAAATTTCAGCGAGATCCATGCAGCCCATCTGGCGATACTTTAACAAGCCATCCAGCCAGAAATTCGCTTTTATAAGAATATTTAGACAATAAGTAGTAAGATAATATTGTTAAAAAAAACTTTTATACTTTCTTTTTATACATAAGTATTTTTAAATAAAACAAAATTTAACATGCTTCAAAATTTTATTTTTAAATGTATAATATAGATAGGTTAATGTTTTTGTGCCATAATTCCCTGTTGTGTTACAGCGTTTTTTTTAAAAGTTAGTAAAGTTCGAAAAGAGAGTTACATACAGTCTTTTAATTTAAATCGGTTAAAGATTGCATTTCTTTATACTAGAAAATAGCTTAGAGTAAGCAAAAAACATAGATAAAACAACAATATGAAAAATAATGTGAGTATTTATAACAATTAAGTAATATCTAATCAAAAGAAGTAGAAGTCTAATCATCGGTTTCCGAAACCAAGGATAAGTTATTCTCAAAATAAAAACGGACGATACCTTAAGACAAGTCACATTTAGAACTACTTATAAAAAATTATAAATGATATTTTTATAACCATAAATTATTTTATCTTAAATATTAATTTATTGCTTTTAAGTGCTTATTATCACAACATTTGAAGCTGCTGTAAAAAAAAAACTTAATATATATTAACTATTATTTATATTATTAAAATTACGAGTCCAAATTTTCAGATTACTTTTAGTATCACTTTGATAAGTATGTTAGTCCTACCTAATCTTTGTCTCGGTGACATTCATAAACACAAGGCACTTGAAATTGGCAGTACTAATATTAAATACAAACAAGTTTTTTTTTTATTCTACACTCCCATAGGAATGCAACAGAAATATAATATAAACAGTTAACTGTAATTCCCTAACAATCAATAATAAGAGCGACTTCTTTTTTCAACTGAAATAAAAAAAATCTCGGAACTTTTATTCCTGAAACTGGCAACATTTAATTGAGAAAACTACAGAAAAACAACAAGCAAATAAATCTCCACTGATCCAAATTTGTCGGAATGGTTATCCTTGTCCAAAGTTATGCTCTTTGAAAAAAAGAGATAAAAATATCTATTTTTCGACTAACTTCTGCAGTGCACTCATATTTGGACTTAATGTAAATTAAAAAATGCTGACAAAAAGATACAGATTAAAAAAAATTGTTGCTACAACCAGTTTTTTTATCTATACTTTGAAAATTCGATTAATAGTAATAGACAATAACTACATATAGCTCATATAAATGCGTTTATATTGTTATTTTGTGTCTACCTAATACACTGGAAGTGTGCTTTGTTAAATCGTTTATTAAATTATGCACATCTATATATTATGCATTACATATACCTTATATCTTACACTAATGGAATTTCTTTACTTGATAATTATTAAAGTATTGCCTATATACTTAAGAACATCACAGTTTTACATATGTATTATATTATTCCGTGATCTAATATATAGCTTAAATATTTTTAACTTATTGATAAACTACACATTTTATATAATATGAAATATTTTATATATCTAATACAACAAATAAGGTTTATTTATACATAAACTGGAATCGTAGGTTAAGTTCGAACTGTCCGATGATGACGTCAGTGGCGCTATAGCGCTTGTATATCCCCATATGTTTGTCTCGCTCTGACGCAACTACCGAGCGTTGTTCGTACGGTTCCGGCTCATGTCTAAATGAACGTATACATAATAAAATGTCATTGGTTGTTTCATCCAATTACATTATGTTCATAATTATAATATATAGAACTATAAGTAGAATAGAACGTTTCATTTGAGTTACTGAGATTCTATTATTCATATAAAGAAAATTTAAAATCAATAAGTTTTGCTGCACATCATTGAGTTATTTCTTTGACTTATCTATCAGTAACGGTCGGCACTGTTTTATAATACACAAATTAGGTCGAAGAAATAAAAAATAAAATCAGTCTAGATCTAGATTAATTTCACAATTGAATATTAAATTAATATATTTCTTTTCACTTGCAGTCTTATGACAAATATCGAAAAAATTAATACCTTGTCTTTTAGTCAATATATATTATACTTAAAAATAACTACAAACTACTTTCAATAGAATAAGTAGCAATTCATTTTAAAACAATAAACTTGTTTCTTAGCATTAATACAACCTTTTGATATGTTTTTGATAAAATTTCATCTCCAGGGAACTCTTTCGAAGTGCCATATTTGTTCATCAATTTTCAAACATTTTTTAGATGTTAACGGATTCTCTGTTTCGTTAGAGCTGCTTTTCATTAAAGATGTTAAACAAAGGCCATCGATAGTCTTCAATCTCGGTCCTTTTTGTTTCCAAATTTGTTTTTTATTATCACTACAACCTTTCCATACAGCTCTACCATTTCCTTGTTCTAAACATAACCCTTCGTCGGCCATTATTCTACCTTCAGTTGTGTATACTACAAGACTGTCTAGGTCTAAGTCACTGCCGCAGTGTACTTTAGACGCAGGACCACCTAGACCCGGCGTACTGGATATCACCCCTATACAACCTCCTTTGTCATTACGAATCCTACCAAACCACCTATCCATAGTGGGAAAGAAATGTTGAGGCCATACATTCGTTAAATACCATTCAAAACTCTTACATTTCAAATCTCGTCGCAGCTGTACTCTGTCACCTACATTTTGTTCATCTCGTATCACTGCGACCGCTGGATTGAATTTGAAAAAGAAATCCGCCCATTCGTCCATCCACACTGTCGCAGCACGAGCTAAATTCGAATTCAACACTTTGGAGACTCCACCGGGATATTTGTACGGACTATGCCTTCTAAATATATGACCGACACGTGAACATGGTGTTATTTCAACCCTCGCCCCGCATTGCCAGGCTCTCCAGGATAGTTCTAAATTTTCTGCACCCCAAATCATCATACCCTCATCATACCCCCCCAATCTCCAAAACAAACTTTTTGTGACAGCAAACAGACCTCCGGCCATCGCTGGCGACGGATACGGTTTAGAAGGATGTTCTGCTTTTTGCTTCATCACTTCAGTGCTGGGCATTAGCCAACGGAAATGCAAGCGCCAACTGAAAGCACCCCAGTGAGCGTCGATACTTTTCGTGTATGCAAAAGTATCCTCCGATAGCAGATCAATATGAGGACAAATGAAAACATCATCGCTGCCCGCTCTGTCTAACAACGGCTCTAACCATCCCGGTGTTACCTGTAAATAAAAAAAAACAATATATAACACACTAACTGTCGACTCTGTCCGCGCGGAAATAAGAAAAAATAATTAGTAGCCTATGCGTTCTATATGCATGCATACCAAATTTCATCAAGATCCGTTCAGCTGTTCAGGAGATACCTTCAAACAAACATCCATTCATCTTAAAATTCGTATTTATTTTATATTAGTTTTATAATTTATAACTAGCTGTTGACCGAGACTCCGCCCGGGATTAAAAAAAATAACAAATTAGTAGCCTATGCGTTTTTCCAGACTATCTTCTATATCCCAGATTTCATCGAGATCCATTTAGCTGTTCTGTAGATACCTTCAAACAAACATCCATCCATCCATCTAAAAATTCGCACTTATATTATAAGTAAGAAGTAAGATTTCTTACCATATATGTAAGTAAATAAAATATAATAATTACCTCACAATGAGCATCTAAGAACACTAAAACATCTCCTGTAGCATATCTTGCACCCATTAATCTAGCACCAACAAGACCTTTTCTCTGTGTACTTCTCAAAATATGTACATTTTCTAATTTCGAGACAGCATCTTCTAATTCTTTACCTAAATATTTTCTATCACTTGCATCATCTACTAGAATGATCTGTAATTATAAAGAAATGAGATAAATTTGTTGCAAAATCATAATTATCTTATAGGATAATTACAAAGCGAAGGTAAATGTACAAATAAACAAGTGTGTAAGGAATAATAAGCTGTCACTCGCAACACTGTCCGCATTTACTTAAAAGAAAAACTTAATTAGTAGCCTATCTGTTCTTGGCCAGACAACATCTATGCCAAATTTCCATTTAGCTGTTCTGAAGATACATAACTAACATCCATCCATTAATCTTGATGAAGTAACATTTTACAAAGTTTTAATAAACTTTGTAAAATTTCTCTTGAACAAAAGAGTCTGTATGTAATATAATAACATATATAAATATAGTTATATCAAGAAATAAATTTTTAAAATATTTGTATGTCCCTCTATCTTTCTGTGTGTCCTAACATCCAAAAGGACTAGACCGTTCTTGACAGAACTTTTACTGGAAGACAGCTTATGTGTGCAAAAGTAACTTAAGCTACTTCATTGCAATTTTAAGCTGACAAAGACACAGGCAAGCGCTAGTGTTTCATTCAAGTGTGACGGCTAGTTTAATTTTAACAAGATAGATTAAATCTCAAACTTTTACCTGTTTTAATAACACTGGTGGGGACCTTAATATTACAGACATCACAGTTCTCATCAGAGTGGACCAGGCTTCATTATGAAACACTATTATCACACTAGCTGTTGGCAAATCTTCAATATTATATTGCACATCTTTACAGCTAAAATCAGAAATATTAATTAAAATACAGAATAAATCTAGACTGACATAAAGTTTAGTCCAAATTAAACAGGAACTTGAACACTGCAGTATTCACGCTGCTTGTTTGCCCCCTTATCTCATAAAAAATGGCTCATTAAGAGATCACTATTATTGTAGATACTTCTTATATATTATGTATATTCTATATAATGCTGTTATCATAGACTTATTGGAAAACAGACATGTTTGTATCATCTCTTTAAACATTTAAACTTTCCAAAATAATCCATCGACAATGAGATTATCAGCCAGTGAAATGAATAAATAAGATTTCTTATTTCCATTGAATTTGACACTTCTATGTATAATACAGGGTGGCCCATAAGTCCTTTGAAAAGTAAAATTTGAATAAAACGAACAGGGCGCGCGTGAGCGGTGCAGGGGAAGCGGGGGAAGTAACTTCGGTTTCTGGGAATTTAGTCGCGATGGAGCGTTTTACCGGAGCGGACCGTGCGTTTTGTGTGCGCGAGTTTTATAAAAACGACAATTCGGCAACCGTTGCGCGGCGTAAATTTCGAGAACACAAAGGTTTACACAACTTTGACGACACTCCAACTCTTCAAACGATTAAGAACTGGGTTGCTAAGTTCGAGGAGACCGGTTCGACGTTAGATAAACCGCGGTTGGGTTGCCCAAGGACGTCACGTACGGAACAAAACATAGACACAGTGACACAGTCTATTCGCGAAAATCCGACACAGTCAACTCGTAAGCGCGCCAGAGCATTAAACGTATCCAGGACATCGTTACAACGGATTTTGAAGAAAGATTTACATATGCACCCTTACAAAATTCAGTTGGTTTAAGAATTAAAGGAAACTGATGGTATTCAAAGACAAAATTATGCGAATGAAATGTTGAATCGGTTTACTTCCTTCAACAACATAATGTTCTCTGACGAGGCTCATTTCCATCTTAACGGGAATGTTAGTAAACAAAATTGCCGCTATTGGAGCCCCATCAATCCAAAACTTAAGCATCAGAAGCCCTTACATAGTCCGAAAGTGACTGTTTGGGCCGCTATGTCAGCCCATGGTATCCTAGGGCCTTACTTCTTTGAGGATGGCAGAGGGCGCGCAGTTACTGTTACGTCGGAGCGATATGTGGCTATGATCGAAGAGTTTTTCATACCAGAATTGCAAAACTTTTCAGGCTTTAATGCCAGGACGTGGTTTCAACAGGATGGGGCCACTTCTCACACCTCTAACACTGCTATGCCCGTTATCCGTCAACTTTTTCCTGGCAAAGTGATCACTAAGAGAGGAGACATTTCCTGGCCTCCACGTAGTCCAGATCTGACCCCGATGGATTTTTTTTGTGGGGCTACCTTAAGGCTAAAGTATACGACACAAACCCGCGGTCAATTGAGGCCCTAAAAGAAAACATCCGCAGAGAAATGACAAGCATTTCAGCAGTGACGTGCCGCGCAGTCATCGACAATTTTAGACGTCGTTTGCAAGAGTGCCGTGATCGCAACGGATTACATTTAGAAAATGTTATTTTCAAAAAATAATTCCCGTTTTTTAAGCTTTTTTTGTAAATAAAAATTTAATTCATAATGTAATTAGTTTTATTTTAATATTTTTTTTTCATATCAAAGGACTTATGGGCCACCCTGTACATATTTTAAAATTTAATAAATGAAAATAATACCTCTCACTTCTTACATCTGGAAGACTTCTATTTATGAAAATTCTATCGCCAACTAATATGTTATATGAATGCAGTGTATAAAGTTCTCTTGCTGTTATAATTTCCCTTGGGGAGAGCTGGACTGGTCTCCCACCTTCACCTGCTCCTTGGACTGGAGCATAGTTGTTAGCATTTACTATTTCTGAAAGACAGAAAATATAACATTAACTGACTATTTACTACAGAAGTGTCAATCATCATCTACTAATGGACAAAGATCTTCCACATTAGTGTAAACATAAGTAAGTTAATTCTGATTTCTATAAGTGTTTTAACTTTTTTTATAAGAGAAGGTGGCAAATGAGCAGCAGGAACATCGAGGTGTTTATCAACAACCATGGACAGCTGTGACCATTCAAAGAGGTTAACAAAGTGAGAAAAAAGTATTACTAAACATAATTGTAATGATTACCTTGTGACAAGTTACCTCCAGAATTACCTCCAACATAGTGCCCAACTATAACTCTCATGCCACTTTTATCTACATATGAATTCTGGTCATAGTGTAATCTAGAATAAAAAATTACATTTTTTCGGTTAACAATATCAGTAAATCAAAGTGCTTACAATTATCTTTTACACACCTCTTATACCATGGACTTTTGTGTCGTCTTTTAATCGTATTATATAGTTCAAAGCTAACGAATACCATAGCGTTTATGAGAAAAATTAAAATAAATATAAGGACAGCAATCTTCTTTCTTCGGCCTCTACATATTAAAGCCCTCAATTCCTGAAATAATTTTTTTATTAACTTAAGATTTTATATACGACGTTGCGTCTTCAAAAGCTCTTTACACTTATAATTTTCATTTTTATTTACCATGGCTAAGAAATAATAAAGTTTTGTCAAACTGATATCCACCAAAACGTTAATCAATTTCAGACAAAACGTATTATCATGTTTTTGACATATTTATAAACATCACAACTCTATTTCTAAACATCACAACTTGTAAGTACTATATATTAAACTAAATAATATTCATTTTTGTGTAAAATTGTACATGTAAAATAATCAAAAATTAATAAGCATGAAGCTTTCAATTCAAAGACGATAACATATTCTATCAAGAGTCAATGTCAATTCTCATGTCATTTAATTTTCTTTATATTTATGACCTGGTAACATAGACATTTAGATCATAATTATTAAATTAGTAAAGTAAAACAAAGAGCTTGTAAGAGCTAATGTAATAAGTAAAAAGTTTAACTAATTACTAACGTAAACATTCATTGTCCATTGTTATAAGCACAAAAATAACAAGGATTTTCATAATTCTGTAAACTTGATCTCCAAATGCAATCCATAGGTAAAAAATTAAGGCAAGAACCAAAGAGTATATAAAAAAAACCAACAAGAACAAGAAGTCTGGAAAGAACCAACAAGAACAAGAAGTCAATGAATCAAATCAGACTTGCTAGCAACACTGTTCATAGAATTTTTTTAACTACAGGACTGACATTGACGTTGATTAAATTTAAAATCGACATGAAAGTCAAATATGAAATTGAAATCACAAAATTTAATTAAAAGTTTGGTTAGGGAAAGACTTTAACGCTAATTAAATAAATAATTAATTTGTAAATAGCTCCAACCTCTAAACCAATGTGTAAGAAAAAAGATTATCCTGATCAAACTAACAACTGATATACCAAAACTAAATAATCGATCGATGATAAAATTAAAATGTTTCTTTAATTTATAGCGGCTTATCATTCATGAAAACATGTCTCGGAACAGTTGGAATAAACGTGATCAAGGCTGGAGAAATAACCGAAACCAAAGACCTCCTGGTCTAAAAGGACGAGAAATCGGATTATATTATAGAAATCTTCATAAGGAGGCTAAAAAGAAAAGTGAAAATAGTGTTAGTACCGGACATTTTTATTTTTAAACATCGCAGGCACTTTAGGCGCTTGGGGTTCTACTAGATACACCGCAAAAAAATTAGTATTTACCTTGTGATCTTTAATAATGTAAATCATTATTTTTAAAATGCTTTACCTTGGTTTTAATCTCAATATCAGTTTATAGCGAATAGAATATTAGCTGTTTATTTTCAATTTGAATATGAATTACATTATTTTTAGTCCATTCTATAACATTGGATGAACTAAACTTTATTTTGAACAAGTAATACTAAAGTTTTTTAAATTTTTTTTAGATATCTCTTACAATACCTCGATCTGTGGTAACTTCTGTCAAAAACAATTTGAGACAAATATTATTTATTGCCAAAGAGCAAGACATCAAGCTACCAAATATTGTTACTTCATTTTCTCATAATGCTACAACAGACATAACAACAGAAGTTCCTAATGCTACAGATGTTAGTAATGATCAGAAATGCAATGAATTTAAGTCTCCATATCCAGTCACAGATATGTTTTCCAATGTCCCAAGTACATCATCTCTTCCAGATTTTATACCAATTTACAGTGAAAATGAAATGGACTATGACTATAATGAAAAACAACTCTCACTTAGAAGTTCAAAATCTTATAAATATGCTTATGAAGATATAATAACGGGAACATTTGATGAAAAACTTGCGGAAAGTTTATCTAAAGGAATTGCTATAAACTTCAAAGATGAACATACCAATGATCTTAATGTTTCCTTTCAAGAGGAATATAAGGATATGATTACGAAAGAAAAATATAAAAATTTCATGAAATTTCGTGAAACATTACCAACATATAAGAAATCTAAAGATATTCTAGATCTTATTGACAATAACCAAGTTATTGTCATAAGTGGTGAAACTGGCAGTGGAAAATCAACGCAGGTACAATTATTTCATTATATTACATTGCCTATCTTACTAATATTATCAATGTGAATGTTTAGATGGATAGATGGATGGACTCGCTGAAATTTGGCATACATAGTTTGTTGAGCATAAGCTACTAAATAAGTTTTTTAAATTCCGCACGTATGGAATCACAGGCAACAGCTAATAAGGATATAATTTAACATAGTGACTTTTTATAAATGTTTAGCTACTAACTAGCTGTCGCCCGCAACCATTAATCCATGTAAACTATTGCATTTATAATATAGTATGTAGAAGTATGTAAGAAGTAAGATTTTCACTGATATTTCTTTCAGATACCGCAAATTATTTTAGATGATGCTATAAGAAATGGTAAAGGCGCTAATGTTAAAATAATGGTGACTCAACCTAGGAGAATAGCTGCATCTTCTCTTGCAGCTAGAGTTGCTCAGGAGAGGTGTGATGTTATGGGGAATTCTGTAGGCTACTCTGTTAGATTAGAGAGGTAAGTAACTTTTTATATTTTTTCCATAATTTTATTATGTCTATAGTGATAAGCAAAAAATGCATATTTTAGTTTAAAAAAGGTGATATCCTCAGTGGGGGCACTCCTTCGCTCCCAGATATACTGGTTGGTCTTAAATAAACAAATTATTTTAACTTATATTATTAGCAATTTCTCTTATATATGTAGTTTTATTAAACTATTGCTTTATTTATAATCTGTATAACATCTAGGTGTTGGAACTGCATTGTGTGCATAGAAGGATATAAAATATTTCAGAATAGAAGAAAGGGCTCGTGGCAGCATCCAGTTCTGCACAACAGGGGTGCTGCTTGTCGAACTGGAAGTTCATCAGGGTCTGACAAATTGGAGTCATATTATACTAGATGAAGTACATGAAAGGGACTGTCATGTTGATATCTCCATGTGCATGTTGAAACAGGTAACTTAGAAATATTATTATAAGTAATATTTGTAAGTGTAAAAAAAAAACTAATAAAGTGAAATAAAAAAAAACATTTTACTCCAAGTGAATAATTAAAGACGTTGTTAAAAAAGTATGACTTCTATATACTCTTAGTCTAAAGAGGTTTTTTCTGATGTCTTATAAAAAAACAGAACTATTTCGGTTTTATAGAGGAAATCATATTGGCATAGAAAATAATAACGCCTTGTTATTTTTAATAAATGTGTATATTTAGAAGAATCAAAGAAAAGTCGATCAAAAATAATACTCCAAGTTCATATTGCCGTTGTATTCCAAACATGATTATTATATTTATTTCAGGTTTTAAAAAGGCGACAAGATTTAAAATTAATTTTAATGAGCGCTACTTTAGATGCTGAAACATTATCACATTATTTTAATGATTGTCCTGTGATGAAAATAGAGGGGATAGCTTATCCTGTTAAAGATGTGTATCTAGAAGATATTTTGGACATGACAAAGTTTAAACTTCCGGAGAACAACAATAAACAGCGGAAGCAACCAAAGTTTAAGCGATATGTAAACAAACATAAACAATCAGATGAAATGGAAAAAGACATTAAATATAAAGCAGAAATCAGTATGTATTATATTTAACTAATATTAACAAATTAGGTAATACTGAAAGTAATTAGAGGGGAAAAAAGACTTGAAATAGAAAGAGGTTTTGTAATTCACCATATTATTATAATACAAACATGATAATTTTAAGTGCTATTAAATTAATTTAAAATATAAGTAATTCGCAAATAGTCAAACAGCATCTTTCTTCTTAATAATATTATATATGTGAATGTTTGTATGTAAGAATTAATACTGTGCGGACGGAGTGGCGGGCCACAGCTAGTTAACCAAAATTACTATTATAAATTATTAATAGAATATTGTTTTAATTAATTTCCTATTATAATTACAGTTGATTGGTTAGAATCAAAGAGACGTGGACTAGATTACAATGTTTACAAAACACTGCAAGACTCGAGGATTGAAGAATTAAATCTAGATCTAGTGCTTGAACTTCTGAAACGTATTTGCAGAGGAGATCCCGGAGCTGTATTGATATTCTTAACAGGCATTGGAGATATATCAAAGTTCCTAAGGTTGATGAACGAAAGTCAACTATTCCCAAAGGAACGTTATGAAATTTACCCCTTACATTCAAAACTACCTTCATTAGATCAACGTAGAATATTCGAAAGGCCACCGAATAATGTTAGAAAAATTATTGTAGCAACAAATATAGCTGAAACTTCAATAACTATAGATGATATAGTATATGTCATTGATTGCGGAAGAATTAAATTGAACGGATTTGATATTGAAGATAAAATATCAACGCTTCAGTCCGAGTGGGTGTCTCAAGCTAACTTACGTCAAAGGTAATTCTTTTTAATTATTTTCCTAAGTAAACTAGTATTTTAGTAAGTATGAATGGATGGTATATAGTGCCTAATGTACAGTCAGCGTCATATAGATCGTAACAGACAAGATATGCAAATATATAGGTACACCAAAAGTAATCAATTATATCGGTACAACAAAAGTCCTCAAATTAATAGATACATTCACCTTGCTCAAATACATCGGTACATACACAGCGTCAAATGTACAAGGTGCCCATAAATATCGTAGCAGCCACAGCGTCATAAGTAACGAAGCAGTCAAGGTGTGCTAAAATATCGTAACATTTGACAAAATTGAACTCTATCTCTATAAATTTGGAAAAAACTACTGCTGTTAAATTCATTTGACATTTTGCATCAAACCACTGAACAAAGCGATACATTTTTTAGGATGAAAATCTTAACTGTAACTTTCGATTCGATTATGAACGACGAGACTATAAGTTCCCAAAATAGTGTGGCAGACGGATCTTCTTCTTCTTCTTCTTCTTCTTCTTCTTCTTCTTCTTCTTCTTCTTCTTCTTCTTCTTCTTCTTCTTCTTCTTCTTCTTCTTCTTCTTCTTCTTCTTCTTCTTCTTCTTCTTCTTCTTCTTC